AGGAGCTCAAGGTAACGGACTGCATTCGTCTTTTTTCGGTGAGATGTTTTTGACGTTCATTCAAGCACTGCTATCACCTAACGTTCTACATGACATTGTCACCGAACTCGATTTGTTCCCAGGCCGACGCCATTTTTGCGTTTCTTCTCCGTCTGACTGGCGGCAAGAATTGAACCATGCCTTATGTAAGGCGATTCGCGCTTTTTTTTATTAAAGTATTGTAAAATATTTCCAACTAGCTCTCAGTCAATTCACGGCACAACCATTTTTTTTAAACAGTTCATTTCAGTATTCCACCTATAATTTGCATGTGAGATACGGGTTTTGGCCGACAGAGCCCTCGGATTCCAGCTCTACTTTCGAAAAACGGCCCCCCAAGTGTGGCAGTGCGCTCTTGTCCTTCAAATTTTGATATCTGGCTACACTATAATTTCCATTATTGAAACACTTCCATCATTTTCGTACTATGCTTCTGCTTAGGGCCTCCTTGCCTAATACCTTCACCAACCTTCGATGAATTTGCAACATTTCTGACCTTTAAAAACAAAAACTTGAGCACTGAGCGTCGATTCTAAAGACTAAAATTTGTCTGTTTTCGCTAAACTTATTTCTCCTGTAGTAACCCGGTTTTCAGTCGCAAGCTTTCAAAGCACTGAAGTGTTTACCAGCCAGCTTTAATCTGCTAAGGGTGCGCAGTTCTGAAGGTTTCAATTTCCAAGTCAACTGGGTTCACTTAAAGTAGTTTGATGAAAAAACACAGTTAATATTCAAGAGAGGCTAACAAGAAGGCTTAATACGACAGCGGAGAAGATACTCTGATTCTATGAAAGGCCGGAGGGTCATTCCAGAATAAGTTCCTCCAAATATTCCGCACAAGAGCACTGAAGTGAGATAGGGATTCAAGGTGCTAGGCTCAGTCAACAGAGGAATAGATTTTCTTAGGTTAACTTTCATCCAGCTCTAGAATATATAGTTCGTTCACCTATGTCTGCAATGGAGAAGAGTTACGGTTTTACCTGAGGCCTCTTTTCAGTACGAACTAATGACCAGCCGACGACAGTAATTGTCGATAGGTTGCAGTAGGAATGATAAAGCAACATATGTTACACCTCCATTATCTTGATACATAGTAACGTCAACCGAACGCAGTTTGATTAAGTAGCTGTCCTATGAGTGTGTAATGATGGCAGTCAGATATTTTAGAAGTCTGCAAACATCTAATGTAAACGGTCATCAGTATTTTTGCACAGATCGGGTACTTCACATAGGTGCGGCGCGTCCACTAAGGAGACTACCTGTTCAGTCAAAAGTGCCCCCGCTTGATCCTATTGTCTTGTTGAATTTAATCTTTCACCCTTCAACACTAACGGCCGCTCAGGGCTTCTGTAAAAAAGACAGAGAATCAACCGTTTAACGGCTATGTTTAATTCGTATGTATTGTCTGAATGAATCGAACGATCTTTTTCGAGAACGAGTCAGCCCACTCGTTCTATTATGTTTCTCGCGTTAAGTAGAAATGGGTAATGCCGGCGCACATACATAAAGGTGCCGGGACAGAGTATTCTTTCCGTTTGGCCTGCCCGAAAAACATTGCATGTAAAAATCGTGGCAGAGCATTCGATGTATCTTCACCGTCGTTACTAAGGCATATGCCAATTTCAGCCTTGCCAAATTCGTTCACGAAGGTGTCTGTGATAGGACCACGATACGAATATGACGCCTTACTCATTAGGTTAGAGCGAAGAAGTAGGTCAATGTAATAGGCTATGCTACAGGAAGTGTATTTTCAGCAATGCAATCCAAACCATCGCATCTCGCACCCGACTAATAATTTCCAATCAAACCAAGCGACTATTAAAATACACCGTTTGCGAATTAAATTAAAACATAAATTTCGTCTATTGCTATTTTTCTACATGGGAAAATGGCAGATAGAGCCGTATATCGGAACACTATCGCTGTCTCTAGTTGAACGGGAATTGGAACAACTTTAACCTTCAGCAGAGGCGTGAGAAGCGGATACACGATATATATATATATATATAATGATAAAGCGTATTAAATGAGTGATTCTACGTCCAACTAAGCAAAGCAATGATCGTTTGTCTTGGCAATTTATCATAATCTATGTGACCATATCTAGTGTGAATCAATACCCTAAAAATAATACCATTTCTTTAAAGAACCTTAAGCGAACTTATAGCGTTGACCTAAATATTAAACATTATTAAGCGAAGAAACTAAAAAGGTGATAGACGCATGTAAAATCTAAATGGGCTAAATAATTTTATTGGTAAAGGAGACTCACTTGGATAATCCTGAAACGACTGTCCAATTGACGATTGAATGTAACATTCAACAAAAACAGCTTTTACGTAAACGCAAAAAACGGATCAAATCAGCGCACCGATAACTAGGAAGAATATTTTAGCTTTTAATCAATCGCTCAGTGTTCTTGCAACTAAAACGAGGGTGTATACGAGAATGAATATCTGAGGGGCCTAAATCCTGCCTAAATAAATTATTCATACATTGGTTAACACAGATGCTGAACTTAGCGGCAGCTCCGTTTTGTCAGGCCAACTTTTCCGTTTGCCCTAGACGTTAATACTATAATAATTAGCAATGGATTATCAAGGACATTATGAACTTACTACTTAGTGTGATATCTTCGCGTGTAATCGTGTTTTGGTTAAGCTGCTCATTGTAAAGAAGGCCGCTTGTGTAACATCGACCCCCTGAGGAAGAGGTTCAGGACTAGAGTAGTAATCAGTAAGCAAAACCAAAATGAAATACAGTACGTATACTTAGGAATATAAAGATTTCGAGTGATGCGCATTGGGATTATTGAATCTCGTTATGAAACGCATCACGAAGAAGAAATAATGAAGAACTGGTATAACTTCACTTGAAACATTACGATTTAACTTGCATAATATACATATACACATATATATATATATATATATATATATATATATATATATATATATATATATATATATATATTTAGAGTTACTTCATTAAAACATCAACAATTCTTTGGAGCCGATTGATTATGTCAAGATACTGACTTCGATCGACCAGTTCAGAATTACTGATAACATATATATATATATTTTCAGTAATTAGAGCTTCGTGTACAGCCGCTGAATGGCCATAACGAAGGTTTTTTCTTTTCATCGATCTGTTAAATAAACAAATTAAACGAATCGATTTTTGTTACATAGTTCGAAAGGCCTATCGGCTAGCTGTTTTCGCGGTAGCTGTGCATCGTGGCATACCTGGTTTGAATTAGTGCTCCGCAGAATAGGAGCAAGGACAAACGAGGGCTGTCAGCAGTCAGCGCTAATTAAACAAGAAGTAGCATGTCCAGAAACGTTTGCACTGTCCAGTTTGTATCAGATCACAGTGTGTCTATATATTTACAAGTTGGTGTCTATTGTCTAGTGTATTTATTTCAAGTGTTCTATGAAACCGCGGCGAAAACCGACTTCCAGATGCCGTCCCCTAAAAACAGCTGGTTCGAATCCGCTGTGCCCATAATCCGCGTAAGAAAAGGCGATGTATCTGTGAAATGCGAACACTACAATCAAATGTGTCCTTGGTCGTCAGTTAATTAATCATAAAACACTAATAAATGATAATATATGAGTTATAGGTCACATAAGCTATGATTCTTATCTAGTCAGCTTATACAATACAGTCAGTACATACAATAAACTACTATCAAAATCTTTTTTTTAAGTTATCTCCTGGAAAAGCATCGTTTCGTACATCTGCAAAGTCAGAAGCTCCGTTTATTGACACAGTTCTGTTATTGGCAACTACATCTTGCCTTTTCTCGGAGTCGGTCCGATTACTGATTGGTAGGTGTGAAGACACCACTATGGTACTAGCACAATAAGATATTCATGAAAAGTTCAATATCAATAAAATTAGCGTTGACATATCATTAACGGGTGGCGGTATCCGCATTGCAATTTCGACATGGCGGTATTTCCGACTGATGTGGCCTATTGCTATCAACATTACAATCGTCACTCTTAGCACCTGTAGCCGTAAGTGTGGCCTACCGCTGGTCGTGCCCCCACGCAGCCGCTGATCTGACGGAGCGAGCTGTCGTTGCCAGTCAATCAACCAGTTTAGTTAACGGACCTGACTCACGCGGATTTGTAGAAGCTGTGGCGGTCCGGCAAATGCGAACTTTTCCACAACGCGTTAGCATTCGTATCGGTGGCAAACAAGTCCCGTCACATATAAATAACACACCAAGTTCACTATGCGGTTCGCTGCCTACTAAACCGCTTGTAGCTTCGTATCTAATAACAGCCGCTGACGCACGATTTTCTTGCCGCCAGGGCAGCCCACCGCATTTGCCTGAATTAATCGTACTTGTAGTGAAAGTAGCCGTGCTACAGCTGGTATCTAGCGTACCAAAAGTTTACATGTAAGTATAAGTTGGCATCCGGCTATTTACATCTCACCCCCCAACAGAACAGCGCGGTTAAAAGCTACATTTTATAGGGGGTTTTCGCGATGGAGGGAGTATCGTAAGATTCATAAGGTAGCTGAGAAACACAGCCAAATTACGGCGTCTTCGAACGCGTTAGAAGTTGTAGAAGAAACGCTTCGAACATTCTAATGCGCAGGAAAATTGATCGGATACATCTAACTACTTAAGAATCGTAACGTCTGAGAAAGTCCCCGAGGAGCTAAGCCTTGCGGGTGATTACTTCACGGCGTATAGTGATCTCATATGGTGAGATGGATCACGTTGAAGTCAATTTGAAGAATCTATGTTTACCCGTCAATGAAATAACTAAAATTTTTTACCAGTTTAAAGTCACCGCAAATGTACTCACCGACACACATTTATAAATAGATCATAGTGTTTCCGTTAATCAGTTTCGGTGTTTTACGACCTCCATCACGCAAGTTAGTATAACTCACGTGTATATTACTGCTATCAAGCTATTCAATTTCGTTTCTCGTTGCAGCGGTGCTCCTATCATTAGCGCGAGGTTTGCATAACCGAAAGACAAGCGTGAATAAGGCGGTCACGGAAGAAAAAAAACGTCATACAAGATAATATTATACAGCGTTGTATAATGACATGAGTTTTATACTTACGAAGAAGGCACCCGTCTGTCTACGCTGATGTTTGCAATCTAACCAAAAGAGATAAAATCCTGGTGATCGTAATGTCGCCTATACGAAAACGCGGTCGGGTCACACAACAACGTCAAGCTAGTAATGACGCTACGCTAGATGAAGCTATTTTACTCGTCTAATGTCTGTCCTTCTTCGATCACCTGTACTTATATACTGATTTTTCTTGCTGATCATTAACGAAGTACTGAACGAGGATCTGTGTTTCGTTACGAATGTTCAACAAAGAAACACCAGTCCACGTTTGTAGTGCTTTATTTCTACATCAATTTGTTCCTTATCTTCGTCTTATCATATTGTAATGTCAACGAACTCGATTGTATCGGCACAGTATGTTAATGTGGCGAAACGTATCTACTACCGTTATGGCTTCGCTTGCCTTCGGTTATACCTTTAGTCACCCTATTTCTAGGACCAAAAAGCAAGGGATTTAACGTGCGAATAGTGTAGGATAAACGACAATGACCGGTCTCGTAACAGCCAGACAAACTGCGGAACCGAAAAGAAGCCAAAGGCCAAACATGGTCACGCCCCACGAAACTTACTGTGGTGGTCCAATTACAATGATAGATATACAGATTGCCCGATAATTCGTCCATGCATATATTGTCGGCCGTGGCAGGCAGCAAATATGACGAAATGATCTAAAATTGAGGTATTGAATAGGTGTGAATGCAATGCATTCTCCAGCCTATTCAATAATGTTCCAATAATAACGTTCCAAGCAGCTTAATGTGCTACAAGACGAACCGGTTGTAATAAATCGTAGAAATGACTAGGTTTTTTTTTTTTACCGCAATCAATAGGGATGCAACGGCGCTGTTAAAAATTGCGCTGTCACCGCGGTGGCTTAGGACGTTGCGCCTTTTCACTTGGAAATCACACAACTTCCGGCTCCGTTGGTGGCGCTAAAGTATAGCTAGATATACGAACAGCGTATATTGAAATTGTCTCTTTTCTTTTAGGTTCGACGTCGCTGTCCTTTATCTTTGATCGTTCCTGTTCGTGGTATGTGTTTATTAGATTCCTAGGCGCAGTAGGAGACACACAAATGGCGTCCCATCAAGTAGCCGCTAATTCAACAACGTAACTCATTTCTACACGTCGTTTATAACCGACAGGCGAAGAACAGAAGAAGGACTTCGGCCAATCGAGATCAGCGGATTATTATGAGTCAAATGTTTTATAATTTGTCCGTCATATCGGTTGTGTCTAGTAACTCTTGGCGGTTTCAATCTTAGCATTGGTATTATTATCGCTTCCATATCATCAATTTGGTGTCATAAAGAGTTAATAAATAACGAATCATTAATTAATGAAAAAAGATGGATGCTTACAATAAGCCTGCATGTACATACAAGATCAAAAAAATCGGATACTTCAAATATACGCGTCGTCGACGGATAGAGTGAAACCAATATATTGGAATAGTAGTTTAAAAAGCAGTTAACAGGTTACCTTCAACTAGAATAGAGTATTTGATTTTCCTTGCACCCTTCTTTTTACCGACGTCGTTTAGCTAGACCCACCTCGTAGCAGTCGATCAGCATGTAATGTCTAGGTACTGGAAATTAACATTGCCGGCTCGAATAGAACGATTAATAATAACATACATAGCGCGATGAAGTACCCAAAATAAACACGAGTAACACGATGCTTCGAAATAAAGACATTTTCGACCTTCAAACCTCGCTGGCGTCTCTGACAAGGTTAGAGAATCTAACTAACTTCCACGCGATAACACCCGCATTGGTGTTAGCAGGTAAATTTCTTCTGTTTGCAAAATGTTCAGGCTCCACTAGTTAAGGTCACGACACATGTGCACTGGTCAGACAGAAGTATGGACCGTTTCGCAAAAAGTTTTTGAATGCCAGAGAAAATATTCAAATTCGTATCACCCTCTAGCTTAGCATTGAAACGCTCGTCTAAGTTAGATATATTGTTGTGTACCTTGGCCAAAAAAAACAAGTAGGCGTCACTAGCTGTAATAGGAAGGTCAAAAATTGTATCGGCCGCTTATTAGCGTTTCTCTGATACACGCGACTTCACCATTACTGCTACCGGTCCAGTGTGGCCATATCCGATGCTCGGTCTTTAAGATATAAATGTGCGTTATTGGCTTATAGTTCGACGAAGATATGTACTGGTTAAGCTGGTCACTGGCTGAAGTTAATCAGACTTTTTCGAAAAAAGTCTGATTTCGTTTCGAAAACGTCCGCGACTTTGCCAGCCCCGGGTCTCCTTCGGGATTCGAAGCAGACGCAATGAATAGGAGACCGCTAAAAACGCTGCGAGTTTTCTGCATGGGTCAGACAGTCGGTCGACAAAAAGCGACGGCGATACAATAAGCACTATTTACCGGACTTGTAGCGTAGTAGCAGCCATATCACTTCATCATAATCACTACTGGATTGGTCTGGCTGACTTCGATACCAACCGGCTCGACTAATGTAAACATGGCCACGCAAAGACCTGTCGGCTGCAATAGCTTGTGAACAAAAGCCGCGATATTTACCGAGACAAAAGGGCAAAATCCACAAAACAAATTAATTGGCGGCATAAATCGCTTCGGACGGCAGTAAGTTAAGTTACCAAATTCGAGTTACGTTGTATAAGAAATGCGAGTCGCCGATTGGAAGGCTTTATCGTCAGATCGCTTAGAGTAAATGCGCTTTTGGGGGGTGGTGATCATTGCAGTAAACTTGAGTCAGTATTTTAGAAGGAAAAAAAACTACAAACATCGAAGTTTCCAAGTGAGAGAACCTAACTTGAGCACACGGTTATTGAAACGAAAATATGCCTCTTGGTTTTTTATTGCTATTGCGTTTATCCTTAACGCGGTACATATGTTACAATGAAGATAATTTTTCATTAAAAATTTTTTGTTGTAGTTTTTTGTTTTAGTAATTGACCACCTTCCTATCATCGATCCGATGGAAAATAGGTGCGCTTAACAGAAAACGTTTAATAGAAGCTAATATCTGTGAATGGTTGAATTTCGTCTCAAAAAAAAAGACTCATAAACAATAACAGCAATAACAGCTGCACAAGAGAGCACCTTATTGGTGTAAGTGAGCTATTACAGTTTCTACGGTAAACTAATTTTAGCAAAGACATTAATTTAGCAATTCAGACGAAGTCTAGTGACACCAAATAAGTAAGCATTTACGCTCCTCGTTTAAGCTAAGAGATTTTTGTTTCACGTAATAGCCATTGCCTCGACTGTTTGCGCGATCCTCCTTCGCTCGTGGAGGTTCATTACATGCTGCGAGCGTTAACTATAGGAAGTGACGGGAGTTCTTCGTGAAGCTTCTTACCAACGACACTCTTTGGCAATAAAGAAAATCATAGCGTTGCATTTTAATTACCAACTGACCTTTTTGCCGCCGTCAAACTTCCAATAGATGTTTCTTTATTCCAGAACATCTGTATGCCTCTAAAAATCAGTTGATGTAATTTAGTTTTGACGATGTCGATATTAGTGACGAAGGCACACGAGGGTTACCGTATACCAAGTTCAAGTCGCCCTCTAAACCTCTATCCATATGAAAAAAATCCTCGAAGAGGAAGTAGACGGGAACAAGGCAAGCAACAAGATACAGTTGAAGTTCAATAGTACTTGTCTAAAGTCAATTACTTAACGCCGAAAGCCCGATTTTCCTATTTTAAGCTAGAAAGTTTCCCGTAAGCCCATTCATTAGTTAAGAGCGTGGGTATATACCTTGGATCTCTTTTCTTGTAGGGAAGCATAGCGTTGTACTCTTTCCGGCATAGATGGTGATTATATCTTTTTTGGAGTTTTACTACAAGATCCATGTTAAGATTATGCTTGTGAAAAATATGAAAAGGTAAACATTCAATAGATCAGTATTAAGCGATTAAAAGTGAATATATATACAATAAAATATGCGTGAATCTATATGCAGGTTTTACATAAGATTCATATATTGCGAACTACTAGATATACTCTACTTGTATTCGTTGCTTTAGATATAACGTGTAGCATACTCATTTGGTCTCGATAACTTACTGAATTTTTATAACTTGTGTTCGTTCTATATCAAACGACGCTCACAGTTCCCTTACGGGTATAGGGAAGTGTACGACCGTATCTTTCCAAAGTTACGCAACGCCTGACGTCTGATTGTTGTGGCCTTACACACAAACACCGAAGAAGACGATCCCCCCAAAGTAGGGACTAAAGAACTGCCGCGAAGCCTATCCAGCTTGGCCTATGGCCGCGGATTAATAACTTAATTTACACACCGTCGTATAATAAACATGTATATATATATATTTGTTTTTAAATATTAATTCACATTTAAGTCATTGATCGATGGAGTATTAGCGCGCGCTAGATCACAAACCAGAATAGCTCGACCGTATCTAGCAGTCGCCTAGGAAAGACAGACTTTTCCTTTTAAGAACAAAAAGCACATATAGACACAAGGATAAATGACTGTCCCATAAGTGTATTCTCTGTTTCAAATAGAAACGCATGCGTTTTGAATTAGCGTAAAGCGTGATATGCAGCATTAATACAAAATTGATTGGGATTATACTGCTGTAAACGTGCGGGGGTGTGGTAATTACTAATTAACCCAGCGGATTTCGATTGAGTCAATAATCAGGGGGCAATTATAAAAAAAAGAAAAAAATAGGACGCTGCTTAATTTTGATCGTTTTATTGGATGTACGCATATATTTCATCCAATAAAAATTTGAAAATGATCTCAGCGAATGTATCATAAGCCAGCCGTTGATGCAAATGCAATTCCTGTCAAGCGGCGTTGGATCCTTTAATATCGTAGCGGAATTATTTTTTTTGCATGAAATTGGCCGTTCGAAGTACTTCGGGTAGCGACCCCGAATTGGACGGAACAGGCAGTGACCACGATGGATCGAGTGCAGTTCAGTTGCACTGATCTCATCTGGTACTAACTAGGACGGTTACGTCTGTGGTACCACAATGATAATAGTACCACAGACGATACAAATATTTGTCAAGCAGATTAAAACATGTCCTTGCAGTAATCACAGGCAAAAAGCCGTCAACGAAGAGACTTCGGTGCCGAGCTCGTTGCGAAAACAGGTGATGATATACGCCTATCCGTTAAGTTGTGATATATCAGTTATGGAACTGTAGATAGATATGGAAGAAAAAATATTTTCCGTTCCTTTTTTGTAAATCTTAGGCGCCGTGATAAACAAGGTGAGGATCTTCGCTGAATTGCGGCTCATCTACATTAAGTTAGATTGAGTAGATTTGCAGGTATGGTGACAAGTCGTATGCTGATGGAGGGTATAGTCCTGTAGGTTTGAAATCTTAAATATTGCAAATTTACTGGAATAACTAAATCGCAACTTGGACAGTTAAAATGTTACGACAACATCACTACGCCACTAGACTTCATAAATCTAAATCAAATGCCCCATAGGATGCACAGGAAAAGTCGATGTACAAAAAACTGCACACTTCCTGTGCACAGCCGTGTGTTTAACTGTATTCGTTATGAATCTGCAAATGTACCATTATTTGAATAAAGAAACAACAAACTTTGTGTAAAAGCAGCGTAGAGCCTTCTTAAGGTTCGTTAGCTTCCAGGCTAGTGATGGCACAGGATGTCCATGGTCACAATTCTGCAAGCCACTGACAACAGCAGCGTACCCAGTAAAAGTGCAGCGCTTTCTGAAAAGTTCTTACAACGTTCAAAATGTTTCTTTGTTTTACTGTAGCTACGTGTCCAGGGAGTCATCAATCGATTACCTCTTTAAATCAAAAAGGAAGCTATTAGCAAATCGGCTGTGCAGGTCACACGTGGGTTACTATATGCTACAGATAATTGTGTGAAGCCACGCTTTTAACATATCATAATGTTGTGAAGATAGCCACACCTAAGTCTTCAGCAATTTGACAGAACTCTCACTATTCGGTAGGGGTAGGCCAACCGTTCCTCCCGGTAGCGAAGGTCTACAGAGTTGGCAATCCTTACAATGAAATGCACCTGTACCTACGACGGGGCTAGATAAACAGCTAAGGCTACAATGGGATGTTATTGAAATTCGCTGCATTGCCAATTGGACATCGAACCGGTCTCTATTGTCGTAAGGAACCTATTCAATTGATTTCACTTCATGTAGCTCTGCCTAAAAAAGGGTACCCTATCAATCACTTCATCCATCTTGTTCATGGATGAATTAGGATCGTTAGTTTCATTCTGCCTAGAGCGAGGCTAGTTTTGGTGATCAAATGACCACTTATGAGATTCAAGTGACAGCAAGTCCATTTGGTAAAGCCGTATTACGATACTTCATGACAGGAAAAACACTCGTGTCAGTGTCTGTTTCGTGGAACTATAAAATGAGTACCTATCGGGAATAATCTGTCTCAGTAGCATCAAATCTATCAGCCATAGATGGAGGTTTTTCGGTTACGTTATAACCGTTTCCGATTTTCGTAATGAAAAAAACTGAACGGTTTTGAGCGTCACTGAACTATTATTAGAAACAGTTCTTCCAGCCTGTGTATGCGATTGATTACATGTGCTGATAAATGGATAAAGCACACGATATATGTATTTTGGTAATTTCAGGCCATAATCACTAAATGAATAGATAGTTTATGGTGTATAAAGATATTGCGAACGCCCTTATTTGTTCGATGAAAATCGACAGGTTACTTCGGCAGACCGAAGCAGCTCATTCCAGCGTGTTGCTACTACATAATATGTATATATATGGTCTAACATACGTGGCATCCCGAGGCTGGAATTGGCAAGCGTTCGTTGTTCCTAGTTGGGCGTGTATTTAATTGTCGATACGGTCGGTATATTGATTGTGACCGAAATTTCTAGTCAAAATTAGAAGCATACATCCATAACTTCCGTCGAATCAACTTCTCTTGCCGAAAGAACCATGCAGATTACATATTTATCACACGACTTAATTATATGTACATATAGCGTATAGCTTTCATCCATAGTTCTAACTCCCAATATTTTGCTTCATGTGGACGTCTATAAGCATTATAAGATAAGGTTACTATTGAATGTCGAACAAGGTTTGCACACGTCGTTCAATGATGCTCTATACAGCTTTTGAAATTGCAGCTCCGTTAAGAAAGGCGATTTTTTCAGCGGGCATACGTACGTAGATAGAAACAGTTAGTAGTTTCTTTGGTGTTCCGACAGGTTGACCAAAAAGCAGCTTCCAATATGTTCAATATACGGACACTGCAAAACGGGTTTACGTAGTTCCAAAGAGACAACTTCAATGTGTATCAAGTCAATGAGAGACAAACATCTACATGAATAAACAAGTATAGCATTGTTCTAGGTAATAGAAATTTCAAAATAATTACCTTATCAGCAGGCGCTCGCAGTGAGCCGTATTTTAGAGATCCCTTGAAAAAAGTCTTCTTATCTTGAATTATTAATATTGGTGTGTAGAAGATAAAATAATCTGTCAAATAACAATCTCATCTAGCAACAATATGGCACCGGAAGGTCACTGATATAACATTATGCATTGTTATTTCCACTGAGCTACCCAACTGAACCTGTAAATGTGACCTTTATCGGCTGTCTGTATGCCGTAAACACTATTGAGCATCTAACTAAATCGATATCATATCTGTTATTTCTACATACGAACACCAAGGTTTTGTCATAGAAAATCAAAAGTTTGAAACGAATTAAGAGTAGTGTCAAAATTAACTTTTTTCATCCACCATAGCACACAACTAAAATTTACCGATTCATTTTATTTTTCAGACCCCTTACTAGCCATATTTATATTTCTTAGGTAAAAATCAGCGGCATAGTTACAAACTACGTTACGTGATCATGGATTACAGGTCATTTGTTTATGCTCGCATCGTGACAACGTAAACAATAAACAGCCAATTGTGGGGAGTAATAATGACCAAACCCAGTTACCGTGGGTTATTCCTTCGGCTTCATTTTCAAGTACACCGCATCTCTAAGCAATGCTCGTTACATAATGTAGTTAAGTGAGCGCGAATATTGATACAGGCAGGGCAGCATGAACCTAAAGCGTCG